GAACAGTTGCTTAATAAGTTGAGGATGTTGGGAGTCAATTTTGGATAAATTAAGAAACAAGGAAAATAATTTTGAATGTTTTTCTTTGACTCTTGATGAGTTGACAGTTGTTATCAAATACTATTCAGTTGCTGATGCTTATTTGATAATTTAATACTGACTTTGAAGTCAATAACATGAATTCATAGCCTCTATGAATGGTCTGAGTAAAACTGCAGTCAGGAATATTTTCAAAGTTGAAAAAAACTCAAATTCAGTGTAATCTGAAGTGGAATCTATTAAAATGTGTAACAACTGATGCTAGTAAAAATGTTCAGAAAAAAAGACAGTTGGACAAATTCATAAAGATTGTGAAAATATAAAGTGTTTAGAGGCAAGGGAAATTTATCAAAATGCTCACAGAGTAGCAGGAAGGGCAGGAGTGTGGTTGGGCCTCAGGGACAAGTGGAACCAGGAATTGGAATGCTACCAAGCCTTCTCCCATTTCTGATTCTGAGAGTTGGGCTTCTTTATCTTATTTTAGACTAGCTTTTTCTACATGCTTGGGTAATTCACCAAAATGCCAGAACTTCGTAAATTTGTTCTCAGAAAGCAACTATTAGTGGCATTTTCTGGTTCCAAGTTTAAGAATTCTGAGAAAGTATATTGAATATACAGAGTCTGGTGTCTACCCTGTAACAGTCACCCATAGGGTAGGAGGCAACCTCCATAGGAAAATAGCCACCACCATTGAAACTAGTTGCTTAAAGCAGAGGAAAAAACACTTACCTGAAAAAAGGGATACTCTAGGCCCATAAAACAGTTAATGTCCTTCACAATTTTCTAACATATTTCTCTAAACCAGCAGTTCTTAAAGTGTGGTTCACAAACTCCTGGGAGTTTGATCCTTTAGATCTGCAAAGTCCAAGCTATTTTCATAATATTACTAAGATGTTATTTATCTTTTTTTCTGCATTTTGGTTTTTCCATTGATACTACAAAAGCAATTCTGGATGAAACTTCTGGTGCTTTAACACAAATGTAGGCAGTGGCACCAAACTATACTAGTAGTCATTGTATTACTCACCACCATTCAGGTCTTTATGAATGTCCTTGATGAAGCAGCAAAAATTCTTAATTTTTATAAAATCTTGATCTTTAACACACATCTTTTTCATATAAATGAATGAAAAGTATGCATAAAGCATTTTTGCTGAATACCAACGCAAGTGGTTGTTCCAAGGAAATGTATATGTGTGATGACTTGAATTGAAAGCTAAACTAGCCATTTTTTTTATGAAACACTATTTTCACTTGAAAACATTACAACAGACAAACTATGATTATTTAGGCTTCAGTATTTTTGACACATTTTCTCTATGAAGTTAGCATGTTGTGTCAAACAAAACAAGTGTGGCCAGGTGCAGTGACTCACACCTGTAATCTCAGCACTTTGGGAGGCTGAGTCTGAAGGATTGCTTGAGTTCAGGAGTTCAAGACCAGCCTGGGCAGCACACAGAGACCCCATCCCTATAAAACATTAAAAAAAAGTTAGCTAGGCATGATGATGTGCACCTGTAGTTCCAGATACTCAGGAGACTGAAGCAGGAAGTTCAAGGTTACAGTGAGCCGTGATCATGCCACTGCACTCCATCCTGGATCCTGGGAGACAGAGCAAGACCCTGTCTCAAAAAAAAAAAAAAAAGAAAGAAAGAAAACAAAGAAAAATAAATGAAAGAAAGGAAGAAGGGAAGGAAAAAAGGAAGGAAGGAAGGAAGGAAAGATGGAAGGAAGGAAGGAAGGAAGGAAGGAAGGAAGGAAGGAAGGAAGGAAGGAAGGAAATAATATAATTGATGTTGTTTGGTATCAATAAGATTCAAGCTTTCATGGGAATATTAGAATTCTGGGAAACTTGCATTTTTTACTATTAGTTTGACAGTTTCCAATGATTAAAGATTTTTCTGATGATATAGGTGAAGATGTTAACAAACGTGACCTTTTGACATTGTATAATGAAATATGTTAAAATTTGAAGGAACTTGGTGAACTAATATTTTCTATGCGACCAATGCATTATGATATAAAATCATGCATGGATAAAAGATATATTCAATACATAAGATAGATCAATGGATTTTAATTTGACAGAATATGAAACTTACATTGAAATGCTTTTGGATTCTGTATTGCAACAAACTTTTAAGAAACTACTGCTTGTTGAGTATTCATGTAGTATAAAAGAGGACAGATTCCAATTATCTGAAGGGGATCTTAAAATGTTCCTTCAACCTAAATAAACAGTTTGGCCAGGAGTTGGGGGCAGGTTCTTAATAAGTGTTAGGGGTATAAAGGTTTTTTGGTCCTAAGACCAAAAAGGTTGAGAAATGCTACTCCAAACTATGCATATGTAAATTTCTAAGGATAAGGGATATTGTCAGTGTCTTTGAGTAGTAAGGAATCTAATTCTTCAAAATAGTACAGAAATATTTGGCATGATTTTACTATTTTTATTTTTTATTTACTAAATATATTTATTTGCTTTGAGACAGGTACTCTGTTGTCAAGGCTAGAGTGCAGTAGCACTATCACAGATCACTGCAGTCTCAGCCTCCTGGACTCAAGTGATTCTCTCATCTCAGCCTTCTGAGTAACTAGGACCACAGCATATACCACCACACCTGACTAATTTTTTTGTGTTTTGTAGAGTCAGGGTCTCCTTGTGTTGCCCAGGCTGGTCTTGAACTCCTGGGCTCAAGCAGTCCTCCCACCTTGGCCTCCCAAAGGGCTGGGATTACAGATATGAGCCACCACACCCAGTCTGATTTTACTATTAATTACAATTTCTCAACATCATCATAATCATTTCTACCAAAAATAACATGAAATATTTGTTAAGAGTCTACTCTGTTTAGGGTCAATTCCAAAAAACTTCCATGCATTTAATACTTAAAACAATGCTTTGAAGTAATGGATTATTAATATCATCTCCATTTCACAAATGGAGAAACTGGGGGTTACAGGGGTTAAGTAAATTGCCTCAGGCCATGCAATCAGCAAGTTTCAAGCTTTCAACTACTATAAAGTACTGTCAGCTTAGAAAGCCTCAGTAGCACTGTTTCTTACTTTTATAGAACATATTCAGAGGCATGGCAAAAGACTAGGTCCAGGTTCTAAAACTGCACTGTCCATTTTGATTGCTATTAGCCATGTTTGGCTTTTGAACACTCTAAATTGAGATGAATTCATGTCTGAATTGCAATTTCCTACAGGTATAAAATATACACTAGAATTTGAAGATTTTGAATTTTTTCAGTGTAAAATATCTCAATTTTTTATATTTATTACCTGTCAAAATAATATTTTAGATATATTGAATTAAAGCATATTGTTAAAATTAATATAACTTAGTTTTACTTTTTTAAAATGTGTCTACTAGAAGTGTTCAAATTTCTATGTGGCTTGTAATTTATTTCTATTGGATAGTACTGTATCAACTCAATTAAGTTTTACACTAGTTTAAATAGAGATTTCATTATGTGCATCATATCTAAGAAGGAGTTTCTTCCTTCCTGAAATATTGTCAGAGCTGTAAACCAAAAAGTATTTGAAACAGGTCTTCATCAGTTTAGAAGTTTATTTTGCCAAGGTCCACGACACAGCCTCAGGAGATCCTGAGAACATGTGCCCAAAGTGGTTCAGGCCATGACTTGGTTTTATACGTTTTAGGGAGACAGAAGACATCAGTCAATACATGTAAGATGTACATTGGTTTGGTCCAGAAAAGCAGGACAACTTGAACTAGGAGCTTCCAGGTCATAGGTGAATTCAAAGATTTTCCAATTGGCAATTGGTTGAAAGAATTGATCCAAAGACCTGGAATCAATAGAAGGGAGTGTCTGGGTTAAGATAAGGGGCTGTGGAGACCAAGGTTCTTATTATGCAGATGAAGTCTCCCTGTAGCAGGCTTCAGAGAAAATAGATTATAAATGTTTCTTATCAGACTTAAAGAGTCTATTCTGTCAGTCTTAAGGTCTCCATTTTAATGTTAATGATGATCATCTATGCCTGAGTTCCAAAGGGAGGAGGATTAATGAGGCATGTCTGACCTCCACTTCCCATCAGGGCCTGAACTAATTTTTCCGGTTAACTGTGGAATCCCCTTGGCCAAGAGGAAGGGTTCATTGGGTTGGTTGGGGGGCTTAGAATTTTATTTTTGGTTTAGAGGGTTTTATTCTTAGTCAAAATAAAAATTACTGACACATGGTTTATTGTCCTGAAGTACCTCATGCAGCTTCAAACAATGAACAATGTTATTTAAATCAGGGTAATTATCATGTTTCATCATGCTCTTTTAGAACTGCCCCATTCAAGTAGATATGTCTTAATTGAGTTCCAAATTTGCCCTTTTGCACATATTGCACTACTTCCTTTAATCTTTTTTGCCATTAAAATTAAAAATTGGAGTTAAGAAGAGAAAAGCAAAGTAATGCGGAGAAGTATGGCAGACCCAAAGAAAGTATTTTGCAATGCAGCTTGGAGAGAGAGAAATAAAGCCAAGACAAAATATATGAGGGTCTTGAGGCTGCTGCATTTTTGCCTTTGGGGAGGAGAGTGAGGTGGGGAAGGGGCTGACAGAGATAGTTTAGAACTTTCCACTGCAGCTCAATTGTAGCAGGAGAGTGATTACTAAAGGTAGACCCCAAGACACATAGTTCTGTGTGTCAAGAAATAGCCACAGCAGGTATTAATGTTTTCTTCTTGTATTTTTATTTTTTCTAAGACAGAGTTTCTCTCTTGTTGCCCAGGCTGGAGTGCAAAGATGCAATCTCAGCTCACTGCAACCTCTACCTCCTGGGTTCAAGCGAGTCTCCCACCTCAGTCTCCCAAGCACCTGAGATTACAGGCATGCACCACCACACCCAGATAATTTTTGTATTTTTAGTAGACACGGGGTTTCACCATGTTGGCCAGGCTGATCTTGAACTCCTGACCTAAGGTGATCTGCCCACCTCAGCCTCCCAAAGCACTGGAATTACAGGCATAAGGGACCATGCCCAGCCATTTTTTCCTTGTATTTTAGAGCTTGTAATGTTTTAATGTACTCCAAAGCTTCTCCTCTAATAATGGCTGACATTCATTGGTACTTAGAACACACCAAGCCTCTCACATATATAATCCTTTCAATCTTCCCTATAATGCCAGGAGGAAACTATCCTATGCTTGTACCACTATTATATTTTGGAAGCACAAAACTTGTCTGATTTCACAGGTTCACAGCTAGAGAGGAATTTTGCCTCACAATGAATTATACTTCAAGTCTCACCCATATCTGATTTTTATAGTATTTTAATGAGACTTTGGATTTTAGATGCTGGAATGGGTTAAGCTTTTGGGACTGTTGGGGTGGATGGAGTGAATGTATTTTGCATGTGAGAGGACATGAATTTCAAGGGGGCCAAAGGGTGAAATGTTATGAACTGAATGTGTCCCCCAAAATTTACATGCTGAAGCCCTAACCCCCAATAGACTATAGTTGAAGATAGGGCTTTAAGTAAGTAATTATGGTTAAATGAGGTTATATAGATGGGACTCTAATCCAACAGGACAGGTATCCTTATAAGAAGAGGAAGAGATACCGGGAGTGTGCACATACAGAGAAAAGGTCAAATGAGAATATAGTGAGAAGACAGCCACCTGTAAGACAAGGAGAGAGGTCTTACCAGAAACCAATACTGCCAGCACCTTTGATACAGGAATAATACAGGGTGGTAGCAGGAAAATAGAAAATTCCAGACAGCAGTTTTGCCTGACTAGCAAAAGGAAACTGTTGAAATAGCTGCAGAAGCTAGGAACTGATAAGACCCTGAAAACCCAAGGTATGGACCCAGCTGGCTAAGACCAACTGGACCCAACATGGCACTGGATTTGACCTAGGTTTCTCCTAGGACCTCATTATATTATTGTTAACATTAGCAATTACATACCCACCAGTCTCAGGACAGTCTGAGAACACCCATATTTGGTGTAAAAAATAGGTGGTACCACAGTTCTGAGAAATCCCGAACTTTTTCCAGGAATTTTAATGAATATTCCACCCCTTGGTTAAAGAAGCCCATAAAGACAGAAACTCCAAACTCCATTGAACAACTCTGTCTTAAGTATCCCCACAATCCCCTTTCTCGAGTATATGCTTTTCACTTCGCAATAAATCTCCTACTGTCACTATTTTCTGACTCATCCTTGAATTCCTTCTTGCAATGGTGTCAAGAGCCTGAACACTGCTATCGCCTTGGCCTTAGACATCCAACTTCCATAAAAGGGAAAGAATACATTTATGTTGTTTAAGCCACCTAGTTGGTGATGTTCTGTTATGGCAGCCCTAGCAGACTGATACAGAAACAAAGGAATAGAGGTGCCAAATAATTAATTAGAATCACTCAGTCAGTAGATGGCAGAGGGGATTAGGACCCAACCTCTAACCACTGCAGCTCTCTCAGCCAAGTTATTCTCTCACTTAAGCCAAGAGACCAGATGAAACCATCTCATGATATCAAGAATCCAGAAATAATACTTCTATATTATCTAAAATTATAAAGTATAATATATTCAGGATGTAAAAATCTAAGTCAGCCAAGAGCAATTTTTTTGGTAAAATATTAAAAGTCCACAACACTAAAAATTCATTTTATCAACGATCAAAAAAGAGTCAAAGTCAGTAAAAGGTAGATTTATCTGAAATTTTATCCCAGTGGAGTATTATGAAAGAACTAAGAATTCTACTAAAAAAAAAAATGGCTTTTGCTGTAAGTCAATGGGTTACATGCAAATTCCATCCCTGACCGCACTGAGGAGTACTAGTTCCCCTGCTATTATATCTCATTGCATCCCTTAGTTTCCTTCAAAGTTTTATTCTGTATAAGTATTTCTCAGTTTCTTACTTTGTAAAATTTGGATAATAATAGTATTTGGGGGGAGAAAAGATAATTTTTCTCTCTACCCTTTACGAGTTCTAAGCTGGGATCCCCTATAACAAAAGACAGATTAACAACAACAACAAAAACCCCACAAATTTATTAACATGTATATTTCATATATATATGAGATAGTCAGGGAATTAGTAATTTTCAAAGAGGTGGCTTTGAATTCAAACTTAAATATCATCTTCAGCTGAAACAAAGAAAGAGGAGTATGGGGGTAGGGGTGCAGTTATGAGGAAGTGATCAGGTAAAGCATGGTAAACAAAGGTAAAGTTTGTTATGCAGATTTAAGTCAGTGCCCTCTCCATTAATAAGAGTTTCTAGTAATTTAGTGCCATCCTTTTCTTCCTAGTACTCAGAGGAAGACATTCTTACAAATGAAAATTCCCTTTATAGATTTAAATTCACCCTACAAAAAGGTAATTCCACTCTGTTCTCAGAGTGGCTCCTATAGCTGCTGTTTCTTAAACAAATACTTATACCAAAAAGACATATTCTGAAGTGGCATATTCTGGTCTTCTACAGTATCTGTCTCACAAAGTTAGAGTGTAGAAATTTAAACACATGACCATACATAAAATGCTTGGAACAATTAATAAATTTTCATCATTATTATTATTGTGGCATTTAATGTAATGCTATTGCATACGTCTTTGTGATTATTCATTCAATGTTTAACTCCCCACTACTAGAAAATAAGTTTCCTGGTGCAGAGACAATCGGCCCTTGTGGCACACATCACAGCGTTCCCTTCTATAGAGTCCTCGTCTCTATCCGAGCACACAAAAATAACATGCTTTCTTGCTTTCCTGAAGTTGGGCATGACCATTGACTTGCCTTAACCCATAAAATATGAACAGAAGTGCCACTTTTAGATGGAAGATTTGAATACTTAATTCTCTACTTCTCTCTTCCCCTAACTCAGTGGATGTGAAACTGTTAGCGGTGAAAGCTATCCAAGTCACTGGCGGGGAATCAGTACAGGTCTGCAGCAACCTCAATTCTTGCCTCGGAAGAAAAAATACAATTGAGAGGCATAAGGCAGAAAAAGAGACTGAGGCAAATTTCAAGGCAAGAGTGGAAGTTAATTAAAAAGCTTTAGAGCAACAAGAAAGGAAGTACAGTTGGAAGAGGCCCAAGCAGGCATCTTGGAGGTCAAGCGCCCCATTTGACCTTGGACTTAGAGTTTTACATGCTGGCCTACTTCTGGCATCTTGCATTCCTTTAATGCCCCCAGAAAGTCATATCCCAGTTAAACTCCACCATTTTGCATCTTAATGCACATACTTGAGTTCAGTTGCCCAACTCCTGAGATCTTATTGGAAGCTGCTGATTATCAGTTTCAGGTGTTCCCTATTTATGGGGAGATGGCCATTCCCTCGTGTCAGCTGTAACCAATTATTATTTTAGAGTGATAGTTAATAACTGCCTGGCCACCATATGATGGTTTCCTGATTTTCCTGGTGGGGTGTGGGGGGAGCCCTCTCCTGCCCCACTCATGCCTGGCTAGCTACCTATTGTAACAAAAGCAGGTTTCGATATGGTGGTACAACACTGAATCCTGAGGACAGCTACCCTGAGGAGTAACCTAGATCCATAGCAGATTTTGATGAGCAAAAAATAAACCATTATTGCTTAAGCTTGGGAGACTTTGGGCTGGTTTATTACAGCAGCAAAACCTACACTACCCTGGCTATTACAACCATTATATTCCCATTGCCTATCATAAGGCCTGGCATAAAATAAGTGATTAAATATGCTCTGATTAAATTAATAAATTAAAATTTTTAATCAGCAATTAAAATGAACTATTTTAATCAAATAAATTATTTCAACTCTATCCTACGTACAATAGAAAAGTGTTGGAAATTTTCACTGATTAGTGTGTAGGGGTCATGATTCTTTGAGAACCAAACCAGTATCTTAGATATCAAGGTTAGAGTTGCACATGCTTGGCACTCCGGAAAGACTCCTTAGAGTTTTGCTGAATTTCAATTGAATAAATTTTTCCTGTGAAGTGGTCTTCATAAATCTTTATTTCTACCATACAGTCACTTACTTAACCTGCCCTATTTAAAGCGGCCAGTGCCTGATAGAATGTCGCTACATAACTCCATCTGTGTGTGGTCCCTGCATCCATGACAACCAAAACCCAGATGCAGAAATTGTTCATAATCACATAGATTACCCTAGAAACCGGAAGTACTTTGAAGTCAAAAGCATTCAGAGAACGTGTTGAACAAATTGAATTTGCAGTTTATCTGGCCAAGGAGGACGAAGAGGGGATGGGCACTTGGTTTGAGTATTTTTTGTTTCTCATGCCAACAGAAATTAATAGATTTACCAACACAAAGAAAAAAATATGATCCAAATTTGATCTTGTTGTGGAAGTGTGAGCAAAATCTACAAGTGGTAGTGTGATAGAGTCAGGCAGAGGAATTGACCATAGAAAGGTGCTCAGGCCTCCTAGAGTCAGCTTCTGGTATGTGAGAAAGAAGTGAGAACAGAGCCCATGGCATATGAAGAAGATATCACAGAAAAAAGAAAGCTGTCTTCCACGCAAATAATTTCTTTACAAAGGCTTGTTAACTCCTGCAGTGCCTTAGCTCTGGTGACTAGGAGACCAACAGGTTCATTAATAACAGAATTGGGAGAGAACCTGCCATCTGCTTTGATCAAAGTGTGAGAATTAAGCAAGCCTAAAGTGTAGCAGGAGCAGGGAGGGAACTGAATGAAAGGTCAGTTCTAATCTGTAGGCTTTGGAGAAGCTTTGGGCTCTGGAGAGGGAGTAGAGTACAGAGGTTGAGCAGGGTGCCCAGGCAGGCATCTTATCACTACTTGCGAGTTGTTTGAACTCGGGCAAGTTAAACCTCTCTGTGCCTCCACTTCCTCCCCTGAAAACGAGGAAATAATCTCCAAGGATTGTTGTGAGAACTAAATGACTTGGTTGATTCTTGAACAGCCCGTTGTCCAGAGCCTAGCACATAGCAATCACTCAGGAAATGTCAGCCTTTGTTATTATGGGCCTAGTGCACAAACTATTCTTACCAGTTATGCGACCGAGAGAACATTGTCTTCTCCGTGCCTTCATTTTCTCACCTGTAAAATGGAATAATAATAATTCTTGGAAGGATTCATGAAACAACGCCTAGTAGGGTGTCTGGCTTAGTTATTCCACCATCAGTTACCTGACATTAGTATTTTCTTCTAGTAAGGAACTGAATACAGCGGCAGACATCCCGGTTCAGGCCCCAGGAAACTCAGCCGGGTTGAATGTGGATGAGGGTTTACTGTGTACACGCAGAAGTGTTTGGACAAATGAAGAAGGTCCTCATTCTTGGAACATGCGTCGGTTCTCCGAGGGAACACCTAAAATGACATAAGGTCACCTCTCTAAAGGCTGTAAGCTCATGTAAGAAAAGCTGGGCTAGATTCCTAAGGGCAGAGATGTGCTCACACTTCTTTGTATCCCTAGTTCCCAGCACAGTGCAAGGTGCTGCAAACATTTACCGAACCCAGGCTCTCGCGTCCTGACTGTCCAGCAGAGGCCGCTCTGGGCCGGGGCTCTCGGGACCTGAGGGCTGAGAGATGGAAGGCCAGGGGGTGGCCCTGTCATTGCCGCGGGGCCCGGGTGGGAGGGGTTTGGCAGCTGCAGGCGCGGCGGCGGCGGCGGCGGCGGCGGCGGAGGCGGCCCCGAGCTCGGGCGGCTGGGATGGAGCAGAAGCGCGCGGAGCACTGGAGGGCACGCAGCTGACGGAGCTGGGCTGCGTTCGCCTCGTCTGCCTCGCGCCTTGCACTGGAGCTGTCCGCGCCTCCCGGCTCCCACCGCAGCCCACCCGGCAGAGGAGTCACTACCGGCGCCCAGTGCGCTCTGTCAGTCCGCAAACTCCCTGCCGCCCGCTCCGGGCTTGGCACCAAACACCAGGTTACCATGGTCTGCAAGACTCTCTTCGCTCTTTGCATCTTAACGTCAGGTAATTGGCGCCATCCTCCCGGAAGGGCAGGTCGCGGGGTGGGCCCCAGTGGCGAGCGCGGGGTCGGGGCTGAAGCTAGGAGACCTGGCAGCTAGTCGCCGCGCGCCGGCGCCTCGAGTGGTGCGAGTCTCCGGGTTGAGTGCGCAGGTGTGTGCGCACTTAGATTTGAGGTGATGTGCGCCTTTGGCCGTCCCGAACCGTGCAGAGGGAGGGGACGATGGGGTCCTTCCTGCCGCAGCCCGCGCCCGCACCCGCTCAAACTCCAGCTTTGTGGAACAGGTGGCTTGCTGAGCTGCGCGTTCGAGCCCAGGGTGGGCAACACGGACTGCGCCTCAAGGCTTCTCTTTCTTCACCAGGGTTTCGGAGCGCACTCTGCCAGAGTACGGGACCAGACTTCTTGTTGCGGTTCGGCACTGGAAGGGATGAAAAAGCCGGGGAAGTGGGGGTGGGAGGTTCGCATCTGGGAAGGCTTCAGCAGCGGCTGCGCGCCTGGCGGGGCAGGTTTGCTTTCTGGAGTCTTGGCGGTCTCTGATCTCCGGCATCCTTTCCTAGTTACGCTTAGGATGATGTGGCACTAACAGCAGCGGCCGGCCTTGGTCAGGCTCGCAGTCGTCACTGGGGGTTGCAAGGCTACCTTCTGCCCCAGAGCTCCCCAGAAACGTATCTCATGGAAGAAGCTATTAACCTAGCTAAACTAGCATCCTCTCCCCTCCCCCTGCACCACCTCTGAAAGGCTTCCTAGGAGCCACTCTCGGGTTTCGAGACCACAGACGGCGGCGACCTCTGGCAGCGGGGATGGGGAAAAGGGGAGCCAGACGACTGAGCTTGGCTTGGCGGGGACCGGGGAGAGATTCAGAAAGACGCTTTGAATGTGGAGTTTGAATGTGGAGTTCAGGTACCCATTTTTTCCAGAAAATGTCTCCCACAAAGGGACAACTGGCTGTGGATATGGTGCTGGTGGAAAAGGTAGCCCGACTGCGCGGCCACTGGCATTTTCAGTTAAATGTGAACCAAAGTCACATAGCGCAAACCGATTCTACTCATGCTTGAGTCTGTATTTCCTCCCTCTGAGTTCGTCGGGTTCCTGCAATTGTGGACACGAGTCGTCGCAATCCCTTGAAAAGAAGCTAGAGGTTTCCTGGCAGCTCACAACGGGTAATGCAGTTATAAGGAAAAGTTTCCCAATTTGAAACTATAGTGTGTTTTCTCTACTTACTGAACGTCCGTCTGAGAAAACCTCTTTCGCGCGGGTATCTCGGCACGGTTTGGAGACGCGTCCGCGGACAGTTCCCGAACCGCTGGGCTTTGGCTGCCCAGCCTCGGGCTGGGCTCAGAGAGCCTGGGTCAGGCAGGTGTAATAGGCAGCGGAGCTCCTGGCTGGCTGCCGGTGGTAATTCCCGTAATCCTCAAAGCAGGAGATGCTTACGTAATGACACGGAAGGTACCTTTACTTCTCCTCACTCAAAAATCTTTTCTTGAGGTTCAGAAACCCTTGAGTGAGTCAGTAGAGGGGTTCGTTTGCTAATTTGACTTAGTGGTTTGTCTTATTTATTTAATCATTTCCTTTTTTGAACAGCTCTGGCAGTTGTCAAAACCGGGATTAACCCGAACAAGCAATGTATTGTAGCTTCCCCACCCCCACCCCCACCCCCAAGACGCTTTTTTTTTTTTTTTTTTGGTTCAGCGTTACAGTTTAGTTTAACTCCGCTATTGCGGGAGGAATATCACCCTTGACCCACCACCAGAGTGAGGAGACTGGTAGGTCAGGGACCGGCTGAGCACCACACCTACCCCCATGCACTAATTAGGATCAGATTCCAGATGGTCACAGCCTTCCAGCTGTGAGGCTCGAGACTCAGGAAGACATACTGCCTCATTTCCCTAGTTATGTTTCGATGTGCATATCCCAAGCGGACAATGATGAAGCTAATGGACGCTGCATTCCCGCTGAAGTTTGTGCCTCTGAAGGAATCTCTTTAAGACATCAGTTTGTTGTTAGAGCTACTTTGCAATAAATTTCATGAAAAAAATATGAAAATTGGCATAAATACCTCATGAGATTCTTTGCACCTTAATTTTAAGGTGTTTTCAGAATGTAAAATATAATTTTTAAAGAAAAAAATAGACGTGTTGGTAAAGAAGAAAGAGATGAGGACTCTTGAAGTGAAAGTGGCACATGTGTTTTGGGGGCTTATCCCAGAACTCCCTAGCAAACCTCTAGTTAGTTTCACCAGGCCTTATTTCTTTTCTGTTTCCTTCCCTTTTTCCCCTTCTAGCCATAGGCTTCAAAAATATTTCTGTAAAATTCTTAAGGTGATACTTTCTTGAGCCAGGAAAAGCATTACGCAGGGGCCTATTTTTTGGCTCAACAAATCCTCTCAAAATATACATAATATTTCCTCCAGCACCTATAATGGACACTTGCAAATATGTGTGCATTGTCAACAAGCCAGCGAGGGTAGATCTCCACATTTATTCACTCGGGTATATATAAACATATTTATATATTTATGGAGAAAGGGCCTAGCTCTGTCACCCAGACCGGAGTGCAATGGCGCTATTCCAGCTCCACTGCAACCTTGGCCTCCCCATCCTCTCACCTCAAGCTTCCCAGTAGCTGGGACTACAGGTTCACACCACCATAAACAGCTTTTTTTAAAAAAAATTTATTTTTTGGTAGATATGAGGGGTATTCCTATGTTGCCCAGGTTGGTCTTGATCTCCTGAACGTAAGTGATCCTCCCACCTCGGTCTCCCAAAGTACGGGGATTACAGATGTGAACCACTGTGTCCAGCCTCGTTTGTATTTCTAAAAGGAGAGAGAAATCTTAGATGGTCTTCAGTTCTCTCAAGGTTGATTATAGTAGAAAACTAGCATGTCTATTGTATAAACCATTATCAAACACTTCTTATGCCAGTATAAGGCATATTGCAGTACTGATTCCAGATTAAAATACAAACCAGAGCCTCCAGCGTTTGTCCCCAAAACCAAGAAGGGAATGAGAATGGCAGGCCCCTGGTAGCTTCCACCTTTATCCCTCTCCTGCTCCCCATCTGGATTCTCGTCCTTTGTTCTTGCCACCATGGTTGTTACATTCAAGTTTTTTATGGCCCTATTTATTTAAAAACTCCCTCAGTGAAGTATGAGATATATTAGAACTTTCAGAGGCATTTTCTGAATACTCAAGAAGGACAAAAAGGAAAGACACTAGGTAAGAGAGGCACAAACCTCTTGGTCCTATTTCTCTTGCACTGGATCTGCTCTGTTTGCCCCTGTCTCCTCTCAGGACCTTCCCCCCATTACCCAGCCACCCTGCACAGACATATTGGTCCCTTGGTGATTAAGACGTAGAACACCAGAGAGCTAGATTCCCAGTCTGCCACACAGCTAGGGATCCTATTTGTGTTCTGGTTCTGGTAGGTACCTCTTCTCCAGGTAACTAACACCTAGAATGTCCTTATCCTTGAAGGAAGACTGACTTCACCCTGCACATTTATGACTCTGTACTTGATATATTTCAGCTTAGTAGCCTTATCACACATATATTAAAATGCACAAAATTGTGCACACATTTAAAGGAACAGGAAAGTTGATTATGGTTTGTTGGGGGTGGTTGTGAAGAGTCACTTGCATTCCTTAGCCTGAGAAACTCCTATTCCCCTGAAAATCTTTGGTCACAGTCAAAGATGTGACATTTCCTTCACATGAAAACTGACCTGAGAAGGTGCATGAACACTCTTTGTTGTTCTCTTTGTTGTTAACTGATGCATTTACAGAGGTAGTGTTTCAGGATGGTAGGTGCGTAGATTCTGCAGCTAGATTGCCTAGGTAAAAATCTAAGCTTTACCACTTACTAATTGTGTGATTGAGGGCAAGTACATTAACCACTCTGCATTTTCTTATCTACAAAATTTGGAGAATAAAAAATTGGAGTTATTGAAAGTGTTCAATAACTGAATATACCTATAGGTATACAGTGCTGGAGACATAGCAAATGCTCAATACGTGTTAGCTGTTGTTGTTGCTATTATTCTTATTAATGAAGTGTACTATATTCTGCACTAATTAGGTCATTCTCTCCAAAAGCAGAGTTTATATGTTTGTACTTGGACTATGTAAATCAAAGATCTCAACTAATATTCCAGTGCAGTGCCAGCTGTTCCAGCAAACCAATGTGCAAATTAAGAAAATATTCAGCTGAGCCTACTAAATGCCTAATTTGAAAAGGTTAATAATGTGCCAACTCAGATTTAGCACAAGAGTCCAAAAAATTCTCAGTAACAAATAGATGTAAAGTCTCATCAAGGACTTTTATTTCTTCCATAGAAACTTTGGAAAACTGGTGTGTTTCAAAAACTCAACTCAGCTAAACCTCAAAGGTCAGTTCCCCAGAGCTACAAACTTGAGATAATTCAGATTAACAACTTAGGAAAAGACAGGTCATTTTGTCTGAATGCTCCAAAACAATGGCAATCATCAATAATTTCCGCATCTCTAATTTAACTTCAGCATTTGACCCCAGTCTAATTGTGCTTGGGTTTTTATGAGAAAAACATTGGCCAAATATTATACTGTTTAAGCAGACTTTCTTAAGCAGTAATTTACCCTAAGGGGGTTATAGCACCCCACCGGAAGCAATGGACAACAACATTTTTTAAGTGTTTTCAAAACAAATTTGACTGTCTTAAATCTAAATGAAGGAATCCTGCAATAGCAGTTAAGACTGTTTGCTTCCCTTTGGAAGTATCTATCACTAAAATTGGGCACATTAGTTTAGAAATCAAACTTATTTGTTTTGTTCATAAGATATCAAGTGAAGCAGTTTCTTGGAAAAATTCATGTTTTATGTAGAAGACAGTGGTAATTCTGAGAAGAGGTGGGCAGATAGTGAATGTCTGCTTTATCCAATGTTTGCTTTTTACTTAGACATACAGAGCTAATAGGTTGTCATCTAGTTAATGTGCAAGCCGGGCAACTATTCAGTAAGACTGATTTGTGTATGTAGTTCATGACATTTATTTTTTTAGTTACAGCTTAAATTATTTAAATGACAGGTTGATGTAACATTGTATTTTCTGATGTGTGAGTCTTTAAATGTTCCTCACAACCCTTTACACCAGCATAACCAATTTCTTTCACCTGTTTTAACATGGCTTATAGATGTTGGGAACTTTGCCGTTGGCTAAGTAATAGAAATCATTAAAATGAAATAGACAGTTATAGAATTCAACTCATCTGTGCTTTTCATTGGTACAGGATGGTATCATGTCAATTGAAAATAGTCTTAATTTTCCTTTGGTTAGTATTGCCAAATTTAGCAAATGAAAAACAAAGGTTGTCCGGTCAAATTTGAATGTAAAATGAACAGTGAATTCTAAGTACATTCCATGCAATATTTGGGACATACTTAGACCAAATCTTTCTTTGTTGTTTATCTTAAATTCAAATTCAACTGGTTGTCTTGTGTTTTAACTGCCAACCATACTTTTGGCCTTTCATCTGCAGTTCATTTATGTAGAGACTTTGATACAAGATTAGCTTTATTTTGAAGCCTGCCTCATGGGGCTTTAGTTACCCTGCACCATTTCATTAGAAATAATCTGTTCATGGGAAAAGATGGAGATTTAAGAGCAGCTCTCTGGGTTAGCAACTATATGGATTAGGATTTAAAGGCAGCACTCACGCCAATGAGATATTTTGATTCTGATTATATATCCATTAACTGTGTATTTCTGAACATTGATGGGATTTATATGGCCTCCCTAAACGACTTTAACCCCTTTTGACTCTTCCTTTATATAAAAAAGTATATTTTTAATGGTAGCAATGGTCTTGCTATAGGGGCTGGGACTCGAAGCCTTCCGGACTCTAACTGGCATTTAATTTAAAAGGAAAGTTATGATTAAAACTGAAAACTTTGAATTTCAGTGCTGTCTTTTGTGCCAGGATCTTAAGAAATCTCACAAATATTAATTATATAAGGTTTACATAATCCCTGCTGGGTAAGTCTATTGGTATCACTTGGAAGCTGTGGCTATATAGAGCCTGAAGCAACATATTAGATAGAATTTTAAGACAGATGTTTAAAAAAATCCTTTGATCAATTGAACTGTGGTGGATATTTGTACCTTTTATACCTAAGGCAAAAATCTGTGAATACCTTACTGGTAAGTGGAAAAAATATTAAGATAAATTACCAGGTGTGATATTTAGAAAACATGTCTATTCAATACAAAATAAGGTGAGTGGTGGAATACACCTTTGATTATAACATCTTCCACTTACATTTCAAATTCCAACATTTGATTTTCTTTTCAATGAACAAGGAAATAAGGACCTGGGAACTTCAGTGCAGGTGTTGAACATGAAAGGAATTAGATGACAGAGGGTTTTGTTTATTTGTTTTTGTTGTTGTTGTTGTTGTTTTGGCCATGGTTATAAACTTGGAGCTACCATTCAGACTTCCCAGAGGTTAGAACACCTTATATTTCCTAACACGAAGTTAACAAAATACATGTTACCTTTTACGTTGTGATATTTTTACCAGGGGTAGTATACAAGCATAACTTCATTACTTACAGAGTTCATTCACCCACTGTTGTATCCATAATGGA